AGTTAATTTTGAGATTTAGTTCAAGAAAAATTAGGGTAATTTTTTTATTCTGGATTATGAGTATATGAAAGGTCGTTGTTTTTATCGTAATTTTCTCACATGGTTGGTTAACTGAAACAAAATTTGTTGAATAATTTTTAAACAATGAGTTCCTCCACAATAAACACGTCACTTCACTTAGTTCTATCACTTATTTAAGTGGTTCAAAAATTATCTCGTCAAGTGGTATTATCATAACCTTTATTATGTTACGAATCTAAATCAATTGAGCAATTAATATAGTTGTTTTATTAATTTTGTGCACATCAACCGGTCATTTTAGTAACAACTGAGATATCTCTGGTTGTTGGCCACTATAAGTGTTTGAAGTGATTCTCTTAATTAATTCTAACCTTTTGTGTATCAATGGAAAAGTAAGACTCCTCGTAAAGATACATCTAACATATTTCTAAATAAGGGGGTTAACCCATTATATAAAAAATCAATTAAATATAAACAGGAATGTCATGATTGTGGTTTTATGTCTTGTACAGGTACCATTGCGGTTTTGATGAAGACGACTCTCAAGTATGTTGATGATAACTATCAAGTATGACGATGACAATTGTCAAGTATGTTGATGAATGGTTCCTGATGACGACATCTAATCAAAGAAGAAATATCTCGAGCCTCATTAGTCAAAGATATCAAGTCTTCAAGTCTTTGATCTTCTTTTATAGGCGAGAGAGAGAGGGGGGATAGAAAAGTCTTTACCTGCATCGACGGTTAGTTCTCAACCGATAAATATGGTGCAAGAGTTTAGACAGTATAAAATAATATTTTCCATAGCATGTCCTTTTTTAATGTTATTTTTCCATCTTTTCTCTAAATAATGTTTTTCTAATAAGCTTGCAAATAGAGATTCGTTAGTGAAAGGAAGTAATTGTGAGTCCAGTTGTTTGTTCCCAACGATCATAATAAGAGTGGTTGACAATACAATACGAAAGGACTATCCTTATGTCATCCTAGAGGGTAGAGGTCACAGACACTTTATGTACCTTTTGTACACCATCACACGTTAACCATTTAGAACTTCTTCTTATCTTCGTAGACTTAAGATCATTTGAATGTTGAACCATTTGTTAAATCATTTGAATGTTGAACCATCTGACATATGTGTCATCTGTTTATTTCTGCTAGACCAACAACCAACCTAATTGTTGCGATCCTAGCAATAGGTGCAAAAACTTCATCAAAGTCTATTCCTTATTTCTGTAGAAATCCTTTCGCCACAAGCCTTGCTTTGTGTCGAGTTACTTCCCCTATCGAATTTGTTTTCACTTTGTATACCCACTTAACATGAATTGCCTTCTTGCCTTGAGGCAATTTAACAAGTGATCAAGTGTTGTTGTCTTTGATAGACTTCACTTCTTCGTTCATTGCTTTCACCCAGTTCAAATATTTCAATGCTTCAGCTGCATTGACAGGTTCAACACCTACATAGAAAGCATAATCTACCAACTCACCTTCATTATCTATCACATCATCTGATGTAATCACACACTCTTGCAATCTTGCAGGCACGCGTCTTGTTCTTTGAGGCCTGCTTGTACTTGGTTGATCTATAAATGCTGGTTCCTCTTGTTGAACTTCTCTTTCGACTTGTGTCTCTGGTTCTTCAAGTAGGATTCCCACTGAATCTTTCTTGACATTTTCAGTCCAATCTCATTGTTTAAATTCATCTATGATCACGTCTCTGCTGATCACAATCTGCTTCTTCACCGGATCGAACAACTTGTAGCCTCCTGTCGAATGATATCCAACTAGAATCATTTGACTTGACTTATTATCAAGTTTTCTTCTCAAATGATATGGCACATGTCTATGTGCAATAGATTTAAATACCTTCAGATGACTCAAGCTAGGCTTCACACCAGACCAACATTCTTCTGGAGTAATTCCTTCTAACTTCTTTGTAGGACGTTTGTTCAAAATGTAAGTTGCAGTCGAAATAACTTCACCCTAAAACTCTTTAGGTAAATTCTTGCCTTTCAACATACTTCTCACGATATTCATGATGGTTCGATTCTTCCTTTCTGCAATTCCGTTATGTCGTGGAGTATAGGGTGACATCACCTCATGCACAATCCCTTCCTTTTCACATAACCTGTCGAAGTCTTTCGACACATACTCCTCACCACCATCAGTTCTCAAAACTTTGAGTTTTCGACCACTTTGTCTTTCGATCATAGACTTAAACTTGACAAATACTTCGATCACTTCACTTTTCTTCTTGATCAGGTAAGTCCACAACTTTTGACTGAAATCATCTATGAATGTAACAAAGTATTTGTTACCTCCCATTGAGTCCACCTGGATTGGTCCACATACATCAGAGTATATAACTTCAAGAATAACCTTTGACATGCTTCCTGCACCCTTGCTGAAGCTATTCTTGTGCTGCTTCGCCTGCACACATTCCTCACATACCTCGTTTGGAATGTCAATTTCTGACAATCCTGAAACCATATTTCTTCTCTTCAAATCTTTAATGTCTCTGAAATTGAGACGGCCTAGTCGATAATGTCATATCCATTCATATCTGTTAGCTGCAGTTGAAAGACACTTGTGCTCCATCATATTTAGTTCGATCTTGAAGGTTCTATTTTGAGACATATGAGCCTTCAAGATCAATCTTCCATTTGCGTCGATGACTCTCATTATCTTATCTTTGATCGACACTTTATAATTCTTTTCAACCAACTTCCACATACTGAGCAAATTACTCTTCATGCCTGGTATGTACAACACGTTGGAAATTACTGACCTCTTGCCATCTTTCCTCATAATCATAACATCACCAATACATTCAGCTGCTAGGGTATTGTCATTTACAAATTGTACCATATTTTTCATTGAGGGCTTTATGTTGACAAACCAGTCTTTCCTTCCAGACATATGCGATGAGCATCCTGAATCCAAGTATCATTGATCCTTGAATCTATCTTCATCTCTTGTTGTGACCATCATCATCATCATCTCTTCTTCTTCATGTTTTACAAACTTTACATCACTTTCTTGATTCTTTCGCTTTTCTGGACAATCACTCGAATAGTGATCATACTTCTGACAATTGTAACATTGAATGTGACTCTTATCAGGTTTTCGACCACCACCTCTTCCTTTATTTGCAACACCACCTCTTTGGTTTCCTTGGTATGGTCTTCTTTGATTCGACATGTTTCCTTTGTTCTGGTTTCCTCTACCATTCGATTTTTTGCAGCTGCCTCTACCTCTGTCGAACCAGTTTCCTTTTCCTTTGGTTTCTTTTGTTGAATGTTCCTGCAAAGCTACATCACTCTTCGACTTTCCTGCAACTCTTTCATTCATTCTTTGTTCATGAGATTCAAGCGTCCCTTGAAGCTCTTCCTTTGTCAATTTTGACAAGTTTTCCCCCTCTTCTATAGCCACCACCACGTGGTCGAGCTTAGGAGCCAAAGATTCCAAGATCTTCGAAACAATAGCTCTTGTTGTTAATGTTACTCCACATGCCTTGATTTGATTCACTAGTTTTGTAACTCTAGTGAAGAAATCAGATATGCTTTCACTATCTTCCATCTGCAGCAATTCATACATTCTCTTGTAAGTTTGTAACCTCACTTCTTTCACCTTTTCTGCACCATCAAATGACTTCTCAAGAACATCTCAAGCTTCTTTTGCAGATTCTGAATCACTCATTTTTTCAAAATTTTCTAGACTCAAACATTGATGAATTATAAAGAGTACTTTATAACCCAACTTCTCGGTTTTTGTGTGTTTCTTCTTTTCTTCTTCTAAAGCGTTTTCTCCAAGCGTTTCGAATCCATCTTTTACAAGATCCCAAAGACTTTGACACCTGAATAAAACTTCCATCTGCTTGCACCAATTCTCATAGTTGTCTACTTTCATAATTGGTAGAGTTACTGGATAATTTGCATTTCCATAATTTTCCATCGTGAATTCTTTTTCTTCCTCAATCGTTGTTGATCGATAATTCCCTTGAATCGAAACCGAGCTCTTAATACCAGATGTTGGAAATCCACCAAATATCTATGATGAATTTCTACACAATGACAATAAATTATGAGAAAGAAAAGAAAAGAAAAGAAAGAAGACAATTGTTTTCTGCAGTGTTTCTCTCTGTCCACAAAATGGAGAAAAACTTTATTATTCACTTTACGACTGTAAAATATTGTGAATGACTTGATTGACTTTTAATTACAAACTTAAGGATTACTCCCTATTTATAGATTTTGGTTAGCTCAAAGTCCAAAACTATAAAAGCCCAAAATACATATTTTGGTACTAAATCAAATCTATTTAAATCTAAAACAAATCTAATCTGTATGCTCTTCGACACACCATAGTTTTGGCACTATGAATTACAATTTAACATAGAGGCTATGTTGCAGAAACACATGTATCAGAGCACATCTTCTGAGCGACATCTCTGTATCAGAGCATGCATCAGAATATTGACTTGACTTCTTTTCAGGAGAGTACAACTTTTGAAACTTTAAGTTTGAATTCCATACTTTCAGATAGTTCATAACTTCTGAACAATATAAAAGCGACAATTAAAAACGTCATTGATGGACATGGGACACAGATCACACAGTATACAAAATTATTGGATAAATATCAACGGTTGAGATGAGGGTGATACACTTCTCTAATGCTAGACTTCACTTCGAGAGTCCACCCGTTCGTCAATTAAACAAACATTGTTCATAAATTAAACCTTCATATTTAGTCGAAATTATTAGACCGTTTAACCCAAAACAAAAGAAAGAAAGAAAAAAACCTTAATAAAAATATCACCCCTATCAGATGATCCGTATCATATCATACTCTCTCAGATAATGAAAAATTATAAATTTTATAAGTGAAAAAGAGATAAAACATAATGACATGAGAGAACATACACATAATATTAATTAAACTAAAATAGTTAATTTTATATTAAAAACATAAAAATAACTTTATTTGTGCAAATATGACATTTTATTTAAGAAGTAGGAGTAAGCAGTTGTTGTTGTTGTTGTGTGAGAAGATAGGAATGACGTGGTGTAACATGTGCCACGGATATTAAGGTGAACGACGAACCGATTTGATGTACTCTTCAAGAGCTTTAAGCTGTTCCTCAGAAGGTGGTGTTTGATTGTTCTTGATTGATCTATGAACATCATAAGTTGTTGATGTCAAGAACAGTAACCTGTTGGCACAACTCAACAGAATAATTGGAATTGGAATTGTTACAATTGAATTAATGCGTAACATAAAATAAGATGAAATGATGATAGAATAGATACCCAGATGCGAAAAGTATAATTTGGCTTGGATGCACGGGTTTGCCAAAGATCTTCATTGTTTCTTCTTCTTTTCTTCTACTTCACGATGAAGATTTCAATTCTCCAACCCAACACTTAATTTTGAAAAGAAAATCAAATACTATCCGACACTGATTATAAGACCTTTCAGTTATTTTCTTATTCCTTTTTAAAAGTATTTATTCAACTTTCAAAATGTTTTTTTTTTAATATATCTGTAATTATATTATATTTTTTCTGAAATCTCTAATAATTTTTTTATTTATAAATATCAATTATTTCTCTCTTTTAACAATAATTATTGTGTATTAAATAATTGTTATGTATAGTTAGTATAAATTTTAGTCAGTGCATCACATTTAAGCGTGAATAATCGATCACTTTGGAGCAAAATTGAGACAAAAATTTAAATCTGATACAAATGGTTGTTTTCTTATTAAGATTCAATTTTGACTAATAAAATTTTGGTTTTTTTACAGGTTTGATTTAATCAATTTAACAGATAAATTGTGTAGATCTGATCAGTTTAATATTTATTGAGATAAATCTATAAAATGACTCATCTTTTATAAAACTTATAAATATTCATCTTTTAATTGTTTTTTAAAATACTATCAAAATTTTAGAATAATTCAAAAAAAAATTGTTTTTTTATTAGTGAAAAATGCTATTATCACGTTATAAATTTTCAAATATTATTTTATATTAATTTACTCATTCTCATACTTTAAACAACAAATTAAATAACACTCAAAATTTTATATTGTATATCTTGGATTTTTGTATATAATGCCATCATTAAATTATAAGAAGGATAATAACTTGTCAATATTATAAATCTCATTTTTATAATGGTTCGACTCTATAGTAATAAAAAAATATATAAAACAAATATTAATTAAGTTCGGTCGGGTTCGGTTTCTGACGGATCTAAAATAATCATTTGAATTCAACCGAATCAACCTTATATTATCTGATATGGACTGGGCCTACATTTGTCCTACGAGCGAGAAGCCCAAAAGACAGCCCAAGTTAGGGACTGTGGGGCAACTCCCCATCCAACCGTTGGGGGATGTGGCCCACTTCCTCTTAACAGACATCCCAAACTGCCCTCAGAGAATCCCGGGTCTAGCCCTATTCTCGCGGAGCAGTTGACCAGGGGGGAGTCCACTTGCTGGACTCCATACTCACGTAAACCCTGGCAGTTCCCGTTATTGGGCCTCTGCGTGGCCCAATAGTGGGGACCTTGGCCCAGCGCTGGGGGCTATAAATACCCTCTCTCACAAGAGGGCCAGGTATTCATTCACACATCTAAAACTCATACTTGCTTGCTCAGTCAGCTTCTCACTTTACCATCAGAGTGTCTTGCAGGTACACATACCCCCCATCTCACTCAAGCTCAGCCCGAAGCCAGCTGTGACGGTCCAATTCTAATCCGATAAGATCAGTGGCGCCGTCTGTGGGAAACTAAGCTTCTCCGTCTTCTATTCACTTGAGACCAAAGCTAAACAATCCTCGACTGTCGTGGCTGACCAGACTCCAGACATCCAGAATGTTCGTGTCATCAACGTTAACAACAACATCACTGACAACAATGCCGGCCTCGACAACGCCGACATCGTCGACCATAACACGCTCCCTGGCGTCAACATGCCCGGACCTTCTAACTATAGGGACGGAGCCACTGCTTTATCTTCATCAATGCCTCCTCGACTTGAAGAAGATCGACCACCTCCCCTGAACTATCCACCCGTCCAATTTCACGAGGTCCCCGTTCCCGTCGGGGCAGACGCCACGACCAGGGCACTGTTTGCGGCAATCAATCAAACCAACTATCTAATCTTCACCCAGGGGGAAAGACTGAGGGCGCTCGAGGATGATCGAAGGCCCCCGAGAAGACACATGAGACCTCAATCTCCCCCCCCCCCCCTCGACAAGCGGACGAACATCCCCAATCTCCCCCGCGGAGACAGAATCAGGATATCTCTAGAAGCCCGTCGCCCGACCACTCGGGCGACGACCCCCTTTGGAGAGGGAACCGCCCGTCGACATAGGAAGGCGCGACCATGGCCCCTCGCGGAAAGAACGAAGACCCCCCAGAGACAGGCACGGGGGAAACCATGAACGGTCATACCGTCCAAGGAACGCTCCGCGCGACCAGGGCCACTGTGACCACCACTACATCGGATCTCCGTCTCGCTCTCCCGAATAGAGTGGCGAGGACGACCCCCGAGGTCCTTTGTCACAAGCTATCATGGAAGCATCCATTCCCCAAGGCATGGAGAAGCCTTCCCACTTAAAGGAGTACGACGGTATCGCCGACCCGGTCGACCATATAGACGGGTTCGAAGCCATGTTACACTACTACAACATCGGGGGACCAATCAAGTGTCGGTTGTTCCCCACGACTCTGAGGAAAGCAGATATTGACTGGTACAAAGGTCTCGCCATGGGGTCAATTACCTCTTGGCGAAACCTGAAGAACCAGTTCATCAGCTTGTTCACTGCTTTGCGACGACACCCAAAGACCGAAGCAGCTCTCGAGGCCATCGTCCAGAGACACGATGAGACCTTGAGAGAATTCATTGACCGCTTCAACCGGGAAGCCGTCCAGGTCCCCTGCACGGACCATATGAAGAGGTACCTGCTCGAGAGGGGGCTCCTCCCCTGGCACCGAATTCAGAAAATCCGTAGGCATCGAACCACCCCGGACGTTTGATGCCCTCCTCAAAAAGGCCAGGGCCTATATGGACTACGAGGAGAGAGAAGCGGCCAACAGAGCCCGAGATCCCAGGAACCACGGATCCAACAGTAATTTGCGACAAGACATCGCCCCTCCTCGACGAACTGGAGAGAAGAGAAGGGACGATAAACCCCGAGATGCCCGGGAACAAAGGGGGCCCTCGGGGAGGTTCACTGAATATACTCTATTAACGACTTCCCGCGAGCGCATCTTAGCGGAGTGCGCAAGTACATACTTCAAGGACGGAGGCGTCAGGTGTCCCCTCCCCGCTCCTGCCAAACCCGGGGTAGACCGAAGCAAATACTGCCAGTACCACCGGAGCCACAGGCACTTGACCGAAGACTGCGTTCACCTCAAGGATGCCATCAAGACCCTCATAAAAGGGGGGAGACTTGCACAATATCGGTGAAACGATGCTCCTCGTCAGGATGCCCGTGAGACGAGGGAAGTAGAAGAGGATGCCCGACCATCCGATGAGTCGGTTCCCATCCAAACCGCGTTCTCTGTCACAAGACCCGAGGACTCCTACGTCCCCGAACATCTGCAAGAGCCTCTGTCTATGCACAACAGGTGGGAAAACTTCCCCTCTTCCATGGTCATCAATGGTGGAGGGTTTAATGATTTAACCATAAACTCATCTAAGAGGAATGTCCAACTTCGACGTACATCGCGTCCTCATCAACGAGGGAAGTTCCATCGACGTGATGTACAACCAGTTGTTCAGAACCCTGCAGCTTGATGACTCTCACCTTTCACCACACGTGGGGTCAGACCTGCAGGGCTTTAACGGCTTGACGTCCAATCCGTGGGGGTACGTCGAGCTTATGGTCACATTCGGTGAGGATACCGCTACCAGGAAGGTCAAGGTGCATTTCCTCGTCATCGACTGCCCGTCCCTCTACAACTGCATTCTCGGAAGGTCGACACTGGTAGAGCTGACCGCGGTGCCCTCCACCGTCCACTTAAAGATGAAGTTCTACACCAAGAGGGCACGGGTCGCCACTATTCAAGGCGATCTGGAAGCTGTCCGAAGGTGCTTCAACGCGGCGTCCAAGGGACACAAGTGGATCATCTTCGTCGATGGAGCCTCCAGCTCGACCAGGAGCGGTGCAGAGATCCTCCTCGAGAACAAGGAAGGCGTGGTGATCGAGCATTCGCTCACCATCTATTTTCCAACCTCGAACAACCAGGCGGAATACGAGGCCCTACTTGCAGGTCTAAGACTGGCCGAGGATTTAGGCGCCCGTGAAATACAAATTTTCACTGACTCTCAACTCGTTGTGTCCCAATTTCAAGGGGAATACCAGGATAAGAACAACAACCTCATAGAATATCTGAACTTGGTCAGAGAACATATGAAAAAGTTCGACCGGGCAGAAATTTCGCACGTGCCACGTGAGCAAAACACACGGGCCGACATACTTTCGAAGCTCACAAGTACGGAAAAGAAAGGTGGAAACAAATCTGTCATACAAGAATCTCTATCTCGCCCGAGCATCGAAAAATCCACGACTCTACCCGAGGTAAACGCCATCGGAGACATCTCGTGCTGGATGACCCCAATATTCAACTTCCTAACGAAGGGGGAACTCCCCCTGGACCAAAGAGAAGCAGCCGCGACCAAACGACGAGCATGCTCCTACGTGGTGCTCGAGTACAAACTATATCGTAGGGGATTTTCCATCCCACTCTTGAAGTGCGTCGAAGAATCCGCGGTCCCCGAGATACTACGGGAAATACACGAAGGAATTAATGCCCAACACATGGGAGGTACGTCCCTAGCGAGGAAAGCGCTGCGAGCGGGGTACTATTGGCCGACAACGCAGCAAGATGCCAAAGACCACGTCAAGAGATGTGACAAGTGCCAAAGGCATGCCGACATGCACCTCGCCACACCACACGAGCTGAATATATTATCGTCCCCATGGCCATTTCCCTGGTGGGGAATGGACATCCTCGGACCATTCGTGCAAGGGACGTACCAAAACAAATTCCTTATCGTGGTCGTAGATTACTTTACAAAGTGGATAGAGGCCAAAGCCCTCGCGAAAATCACCTTGCATAACATCCTCCGCTTCTACAAATGAAACGTGCTCGCCTGGTTTGGAAGCCCACA